ACCTCTTAAACTAGATCTGTTGTGTAACATAGTATAATTTCTTAGGGGCACAACTTGGCACGGGCCTGCCAAAGGTACCCCCTTCACCACTTTACCTTAACAAAGGCCACCAAGGAAACTGATGAGCACTCACCACACAAGTCCCTTTACCCACAAGCCAGCTCCACAACCCAACCAACTTCACTTCTGAGTTGTAAATTTAAAAGTAAAATTATTGAAAGTTTCAATACAGTAATATCAAAAGCAGAGACTTACAAAAGAAAAAAATGGATAAATTAGAGTTAACAAAAATTAAGGGTATATGGATCAAAGGGCACAAGGAACACAATGAACAGGAGCTCCTCCACAGAATGGATGCATCTTGAGGATATTGTGCTAAGTAAAAGAAGTCAGCAGACTCCAGCCTCATGAGACAGCTAGCATAGTCAAATTTGCATGGAGCAGATAGAGGCTAGGTGGGACTGGTAGGGGCTGGGGAGCATTATCTAATGGGTACAGAGCTTCCTGTCGGGGAAGAAATCATTCTGGAAACTGATAGTGGCTGTATTAGTTACTCTTTCGTTTCTGTGACAAAGCACCATGACCAAAAGAAACTTAAGGAAGGAAGTTTATTTTGCCTTACAGTTCCAGAAGGAGAGCATGGCAGGGAAAGAGCATGCTAGGACAGGAAGAAGGTTGATGACATTTCATTGGCACAGGAATACGCACACATACACATACACAGAGAGAGAGAGGGGGGAGACAGAGACAGAGAGACAGAGATATACAAAGAGAGACAGAGACACACAGAGAGATAGATAGAAAAGGACAGAGCACCAGAGACACAGACACACAGAGAGACAGAGATTGAGCAAGCGAGTGAGAGCACGAAGTGGTTTGAAGCCATATACCCTTACCATCCCTAGCTCCTGCACCTGAGACATACTTCCTCTAGCAAGGCTCCCCTCCTAAAGGTTCCTATACTTTCCCAACAGCACAACTACTGAATGCAGGTATTCAAAAGCCTATGGGGGACATTTCTTACTCAAACCGTAACAGTGGTCATAGCTAAATGACATCATGGAGATGCTTAGCAACTTTTAAAAATGGTTGCAGCGGCAGCTGGGGAGATGGTTTAGTTGGTGAAGTGCTTGGCTGTGTTAGCTTGGGGACCTGAGTTGAGATCTGAAGGACCTATATAAAATCTGTAACACTAGTGCTGTGGTGAGGTGCCACAAACAGGCAGATATCTCTGGAGTTCACAGGATAGCCAGACTAGCCAAATTGATGGGCTCTAGGCTCAGTGAGAGAGCTTGTCTCAACACATATTGAGGAAGATTGTTGAGGAGGCACTTAAGTTGACCTCTGACCTCTATCAGCGTAAGCACACATGAACACCTGCACACACATGAGAAAATACACTCACACATACCAGTTGCAATGGTGAATTTTATACTATGTATATTTTACCACCATAAGAAATCATCTGAGATGGCAACATTAAACCAGTGTGGATCATCTGTGTATAAACCCTTGGGTAAACACAAAGGTCCCACACTCACAAAGCTGGCCTTACACTCACTTGTGCTTAAGGTACGTGAACTATAGGTACATATCTTAATCTTCAGTTGTAGGTTTATCCAGTGGGTGGTAAGATACCCAAGGGCAGCTTACCGACTGGGTTTATTTCTTATTAGTCATGCTGGTTGAATCCAACTCTAAGCTAAATCGGAGCTTATTCAGGATATGATTTTTTTTTTTTAAAAAAAAAAAAGCTCATCCTTATTAAAAATAAAATTTGCATGCATCAATATTCATGAATTTTGGAAGAACATAGTTCATTTTGTTTGGGCAGATGCAGACAGTGGTATAACCAGTACCAAATCATGATCTGAGACATTTCCACCTGCCTCAGTGTTCCTCCTGCCTTATGCTTTCAGGCTCCTCCACCCAGGGGCCTGGCAACCTCTCACTTGCCTTCTCAAAGTGACCAAGAGCAGAAATCCTGCAGTCTATAGTGTTTTATGCCAATGCAAGTGTTACTTTTGTGTTTGTATGTGATGTGCATAGGTACATGTTGAATGTGTACATATGTACAGGGGACATGGATTTGCGTATCAGCAGAGATCGGCATTCTGATGTCCACTCACTCTTAACTTTATTTTCTATTATAATTACATGTGTGTATGTGAGCGTACGTGCCTGCCCATAAATATCACAGCACACACGTGAAGACCAGAGGGCAACTTTTAGAAATCAGTTCTCTCCTTCTATCATGTGGGCGCTAGAGCTTGAACTCAGTACATCAAACTCGGTGGCAAGTGCCTTTAGTGGCCGAGCCATCTTGCCAGCCCTCTACCTTATCTTTTGAGATACAGTGACCTCTCCCTGAACCTGGAACTTCTTGACTCAGTCAGACATGCTTGATAACAAGCTCCAAGACCGTCCTTTACCCACCACCCTGGTCCTGGGGTTACAAATGCGTGCTGCTGCATGCTTCTATTGACGTGAGTCCGGGAGTCCCCAAATCAGGTCCTCGTACTTGTGTGGTAGGCACTTTGCTCTGACCACCTCCCCAGACCCAAGTAGGTTCATTTTATCATCACCATGACCAAATGCCCGACAGACACAATGCAAGAAGGAAAAGGTCTGTTTAGTTCAGGTCTCAGAAGTCTCAGCTGATCATGGAGCATGGCACAGAAGAGACTCACATCAGCACACCCCGGAAGCAATGTGATGATCAGAAGGCAAAGGCAGGATACAGCCCTTGAGGACATAAACCCTGTGACTGACTTCCTCCAGTCAGGTCCCTACCACCTGAGAATCCAGTCACACCTTGAATCCAACAGTGGATTAAACTGTGTAGCAGGTCAGAGTCCTCATGACTTAATCATCTCTGGAGATGCGCTCATAGACACACCCAGAAGGGTGCTTTATAACTCTCCCAGGAATCTCTCTAGCAAGTAAAGCTGACAGTCAAACTCAACCATCTCTCTAAGTTTCCAGGGCAGCTTCTCATCATCATAACCAAATCCACCATTCTCTCCTGAGACTGCAGAAGGCTGGAAGTTTGGGCCCAGCTATAGGCAAGTTTGCCTTTTAGCCTGGTTAAATTTAACTCTGAAATTGCCCATGGACGTTTGCTTTCTCCATCATCAGTCGCTTCAGGGAGCTCACCATTACCCTGGAGCACACCTTTGACCGTTGCTTCATATATAAGATATGTTTATCATGATGCCTTCAAGTAATGCTGATGTGGAGCTGCAATTCAGTCACATGTAGAAGGGGCTCAAGATGAAGTGTGGTGCATAGTAGGAACTCAAGAATTCTTCACCATTGACCACACTACTGCTGACATTGTTACAACGAACAATATTAACAACGGCACTTTCTTGCTGTGAAGATGGGGTTATGGTAGAACCTTTCTTCTAGGGTTGCCATGGAAATTACACAACACCTCAGAAGCATTTAGCACTGCTCAGTTCATGGTAAGCCCTTTGCAGGACAGCTGTGATCATTTTCTTGTGATAATACCATTAAGGACCAATTGTGCTCTCTCCAAGAAGTAGAAGGTATCTCTCCCCTTAATTCTCAAAAAGCATGAAAGTCAAGTATGAAAAGGGCTCTCTTAAATTGTTTTCTGTAAGTCTCATTTTTATACACACAAAACCAAACCAAACAAAAAGCATCCAAGTACCCACTAGCTTAAAGTGTCAATATCTGCTTCTCAGGCCAGAGGAGGGTTTCCATGCAGGCAGGTCAGCGAAGGGCTTAGAATTGCCCTGAAACTGCTCGGTGTTTTTTTTTTTTTTTTTTTTTTTTAATTTTGTTCTTGTTGCTTTGAATGAAGAAAAGCAGTAACAGCTGAGTTACCAGTCATAGATTGGAGAGAGCTACTGAACTCTCAGAACTTTCTGGGGTGTTCCAAAGTCAGAGTGACTTTGCTGTACTTGATTCTCAAGTGGGGTTGGGGGAGCGGCACTCACTGGGGAAAGCAGGAAATGGCACTAAATTATTAGTGGGAGAAAAGTTTCCTCTTGGTACAAGAAACAGATTCTGCCCCGAGAGCCATCACCTCATGGGAAGTAAGGAGAAAAGAAGAATAGCAAATATGGTAGAACATGCTGGAAGGAATACTTAAGGACTCAAGAGACATCACCTTCTGAAATACAGAACAGTTTAGTCAATCTTGATCTTGCAGCAGGGTCATTAACATGCCTATATTTTGAAGTGATTCTACCCACCATGCCTGATACCTGCATAGAATTTTCTGGTTAGTGGGCTGCTGTCATTTCTACCTGCAAACAGATGAGAGCTGACATTGCCCTGATGGGAAGATGAAGAACTGTATTTTCTGCAGCCCTCTTCTCTTTAAACAACAGGGGAAGAAACTGATGCCCTTCGTATGTCTCCAACAGGAGGGGTGATGGAGCTTAAACCCAAGTTTGATGCATTCTCAAACCAGAATGCACCTTCCACCTTTGCAAAGGAGAATGAAGGAAACACAAAGGAGAGATTGAACCTCGCCATCTTCCTTCAGATCCTAAAGAGTGAACAATTCCCTTTTGCAATCAGATAAGGAGAATTATCTTGGTAATAAAAGTCAATTGAAAATCTAAATGAAAAAATCTAATGCTTTTCATGCTGATTTATTTTAGATTAGAGAAAGTTAAACCAGAAGTAAACACAAAGAGACAGAGCATGGAGAGGGCGTCATGGTGGAGGGAGAAAGCACAGATTTGAGCTATTACAGGTGCGGGGTTGCATTAACCAGAAAATACACTGTCTGACATTAATTACTGTTGCAGAAGAGAGTTCAGAAGATTGAAAACAAATATGTACCACCGGCAAAGATCAATCATGCATCTGCCTGGTGGAGGAGAGTGTGTGCTATTCTGACAGAGCCCTTGCTAAATGCTGGTCCAAGAGGACTCAGCCACCCGGGCATACTGCCTGGCCCCTAGTGGAACTTTCTGTATTCCCAGGAAATTATAGTGATGGTCTTTTTTCTTTTTCTTTAGACTCCAACAACATCCATCATTATCTTAAAGGTAAGACCCAGCCCCAAACCTGTCCTCTTGGTCTTTGGTTCCTTGGGTCACAAGTAGACTTGGGGTATTCTTTCATTTGCTCTGATGGCTCATCACCACTGGCAGCGTGACTGGGTTTAGGATCACTGCACACATATATCATAAATGTATCTCTAAATGGGTATTTCCAGAAGGTTTTGCGAGACTAGAGAAGACACACCCTGAGTGTGGATGGTGCCATCTCAAGGGCTGGGTAACCTGGTGAATGAATGAATGAAAGTGAGCAGAGGACCAATATCCTTGCCTGCTTCCTGATGGCAAATGTAATGTGATCAGCCATCTCATGCCCCTGCTGCTCTGTCTTCCTCACCATGATTGGCTGTACGATCTCAAACTGTGAGCCAAAATAAGCTCTTCCGTCCCTTAAGTAATTTTGTCAGGCAGTTTGTAACAGCAGTGAGAAGAGTACTGAAACACTTGTCTGAAGAGGCAGCGTTGGGGAGGTGGGGCGTTTGCAGCAGGGTTATATCCAGTCTGGAAATTCCCAGCCATTTTTTTGGTATCCTCTTCTTTCCTGGGGTGTGAGTTTCAGAGTCTGACTTGCCGCCTTGATGTTTTGCAAAGCTCAAGAACTGTCTCCATGACTGTTAGGCAAATGCATGTGCATGCATGTCGTACACATGTGGACACAGCATTCCAGCCACAGAAAGGGAAGCTGGAGTCCTAGAGTGCAGGGCTGCAGGGAGCGTCTGAACTAGGCTGGGGCTGCTTCTGGCTTGATACTTAGGTCTACAATCATCTACTCTCTGAAGATCTGTTTGGGCACCATCTCCAGTAGGGAGCAATTGTAATTTTGTATGTTTTTTTTTCTTCCGTTATTTGAAATAACATTTTCATGAACTAGGGATTCTAATTGAGAAGATGTAATGGTGGACATTTGGTGGTGTTTCTGCTGCATTCATGCTCTTACCATAACAGCATTTCATGTTCTCTTACCTTTCACTTGTTTGTTTGTTTATTCATTCACTCATCCATTCATTCATTCACTTGCTCCACTTGTATTATGGGGCTGTTGTAGATTTTGCAATATAGCTGTGAACAAAGAGCCGACTGATTAGGGGGTTATGTTTCCAGGGGAGGAAACAGCTCACATACTGATGAATACACCGTGTATCTTACACAGTTAAAACAGAGCTGAAGAATGTTGTCGGTAAGAAAAGCAGCTATCAGGGGCAGCTCACGGGTGATGACTACCATGGCAAAGCTCAGACCCTATCTCTCTCTGTGCAGGACTAAGTTTGTTAAAAATTATTCTTCAGGAAGACATATTCAGATTAGCTGAGCATTTGAGACCACTGGTGACATGCCATGGTATATAGATGAGGAGATGTAGCCAGGAACACAGGCATTGTTATAATGGTAGCAGACCCCTGGGTTTCACTGTGCACATGTGATGTGATTTACAAAGCTGTTCTCTGAGGTTGGCTATCTCAGACACTTCTGACATTTGGATATTACGAACAACTCTACTTGGGAAAAGCTCATGAAAACAAATGGCCTTGACTAGACTTTAAATCTATTGAAACAAACAAACAAACAAACAAACAAACAAACAAAGCAAAAGTTGGAAGCTGGGGAGTCACAGAGTTAGAATTGCCTTATGGAAATGTCACAGGTGATGGAGTAGAGAAAAGAGGCTGTGGGGATGTGAATGAGAGGTCACTGCAGAGGTTTTCATCAAGGCTGTGGGAGACATGAATGTGGGATAGTGAGATGCTCTGGAGCCAAAAGGAGCAGCTGGTACATGCCATCCAGCAGAGCTGGCAGCATTGGCCACTGAACAGCAGAACAAGTGGAACTCTGGGATGTGGGCCAGTAGCTCAATGAAGATGGACAAACTGAGGAGTGAATGGGGAACATTTGAGTAGATGGCTCCCTCAGGTGAGTTGGTGGGGAATAGAAGGTCAAGGAGAATTCCTGAGGAATACTGCTCATGTTAAGAGGCAGAGGCAGATGGGAATGTTGTTAAAGGTGTGGCTGGGTGTCCTGATGGGGGAGGTTCTAAGGAGTCAGGCCAGTGGATACTGGAGTTCTGTACACTGTGGTCCTGGGAGAGTGGGCTCTGTTTTTATTTATTCCCACACTCATTTATTCCTTTATCTCCCTGCAACCAATTCTCACTGAGGGCTGTAATGTGTTCAGCCCTATATTCAGAGCAAGGAATCTGTTGGCAAGCAGGGTATGGTATATTTTTATTTTCACATGGTGTATTTTATTTCTCACATGTTGAGAAATGGTCAGGCATATCTCATGTGTTCCACTGTATTTACAAAACAAAGCATGTGTTCTGAAGGAAAAGAATGGTCTATGATGAGGTGCAAATTATGATCATTGTCCGGTTTTGAAGGTAATGTCAGAAGATACTCATGAGGACATGGCATGTGAGCTGAGATACATAGGAAGGAAGGCCTGGAAAGCATGTTAGATAAACTCATAAGTACATGAAAAGATGCTGTATAAGTATGTACAGTCAGGGGGAGGAAGATGATCACAGAGTGTGACTTGGTGATCTACTGAGATTATCATGGATAGACTCACAGGCCCTCTTGACACTACAGTAAAAGGGTTGTTCTTCTATATAATGGGTGGCCTTGGATGATCTGTAGAAAGTAGGCCCAAACCTAAGACTTCTCAGGACATTGTGGGTGGGTCATGCTCTGGAGTCAGGCTGATGAAGGAAGCTTCAGAGTCACCTGCCATTGGGAACTCTTGGATCTCCAGTGGCCAGAGCTGCTTAGGAGAAGTAGGGTATTTGCAGAGGGGCCTAGTCACTTAATGACTTATCTTCTTGGACATCCAAGGTCCCACAGACAGAGAAGCCATCTGCAATCCAAACTGGCACACTTTTGTTGGTTAACTCACTTAGTTGGTTAATTGGTGGATATGTAAATATTGCCAGATAGAGTCTACTAGTCAAATACTAACTTTCAGTGACCAGGGTGATAGTGATGATGGGAATGGTGAGAGTGAGAGCAATGATGATTATGGCAGTAATGGTGATGATGGTGGCGATGGTGGTTGGAGTGATAAATGGTGATCATGGTAATCATGATGCTGGTGATGATAATAATGGTGATAACAATTATGAGAGTAATGATGTTGATGGTGGTGATGATGATACTTGGAACATGCTGGCTGAAAAGTGTGGATATTGATACTTTGTTGGTTTTTGGTCCAAGTCCTGACTTTCTTTCTCTCACCCCAGCTGCATGACCTTGGTCTATTCCTTTACTGATGGCTCTGTCAGCTGCCATTGTGGGGTAGCACCCGCATACCTTTCTAAGAATGCTAAGAATTCAGTGACTGATGTGGGTAACAGTTGAGTCTGGTGACAGTCACCTATGATGTCTCATAGTTGTCATCATGTCTTATGACCAGCAGTCATGTTGGTGGTTGGAAGAGAGACTGAGTGGGGCTAGAGCGGAAAGCCACCTGGCTTCTTTGGAGTTCATCCCAGCCCCAATCATCTCTGTCTTTATGATGTCTGAGCAATCCAGACTACTTCTTGAGTCAAAAGCATCTTTTGGCTGCATCTTCTCCTCCTGCAGCCCCACATGGGTGGAGTCCATATGCTAAGAGTGAAAAGAGCCCAGATGAGGAGTAAGCACAAATAAGCTGAACTCAGACTTGGACTGAGAACTGAGCCAAGGTTCATAACAGGAGCCAGACTTGAGTTCCAAAAGTAAGCAGCCTCCGAACTCATGGTTGGATACAACAGGACCATCAGAGGAGTTCACCAGCTGGACAAGGCCATAGGGTATGACAGGGAGACACGGGCAGACCTACATGGAAGAACAAGACAATCTGGAGCAGGTGTGTCCGATGTGCAACCCCCATGATACATCTAGAGCTAGCTATGAGTACAGTCCATTCCAAATTTCTAAACTTACATAAAACATGAGATTTATATGTCTGCGGTTACACACTCATGTATGTTTGTATGTGTGTACATGTTTGTGTGTGATTGTTTGTATCTGTGTTCATGTTCATGTTCATGTGTTAATGCATGTGTGTGAATGTATGTGTGAGTGTACATGTTCATGTATGTGTGTGCAGTAGAGGAGAAAGGGGTCAGTGTCATGTCTATTTAAATCACTTTCCATTGGACATGGAGCATTCTGATTTGGCTATGAATGGCTGGCCAGGAAGCCCTGGGATCCTCTTGTTTCTATCTTCCCAGCACAGGAATTATAGCATGTGGTGCTCTGCTTGCCTTTTATGGAAGTGCTAAGATCTGAGCTCAGGTCCTTTTGCTTACATGTCACAGTTCACACAGAAGCCACATCCCAGCCCCATTTTGAGACTTTAGTGTGTGTAATTTTTTGGGTAACTTCATGCGTGCTTCCTAATAGTGAACTTTGTAGAGAGCTACACCCTATTTAAAGTCAGACCTACCTCTTATAGTCTCACTGTCATCATACCCAGGGTCCATAATGTCATTCATAGCAACTATTTTCACAAAGACTAGTGGAGTTTCAACCATTTGTTCCTGGAGGAGAAAATCAGTATGATAATACACTTACAGACAACAGAACCCTATGTGGCCATAAATCTTATTTTCATTGGACTTTAAAAGCTAATTCTTGAAATTTAATTGCTCAGTTAATCGATTTACCAATATTTATTGAATGTTCAGGTTTATCATCCAGCCAGCACTGGGAGGTGCTTCTTTGATCTACTAACAAAATCCACCCAAATCAATGTTGGCTGATTTCAACCCCCCTTCCTTCCTCTTTCCTCCTCTCTCTTCCATTCTTGGACATTTTGAAGTTATCAAAAACCTACCCTCTATTTCATTGGCAGTGCTAAGTCAAGAGATGATGGAGCTATATTCATAACACTGTCTGGTCAGAAGACAACTTGGGTATCAGTCCTCACTTCCCACTGTGTTTGAGACAGGGTTTTTCTGTTGGTCATTGCTGTTTGTGCTAGGCTAGGTGGCCTGAGCATTCTTGGAATTCTCCTGTCTCTGCCTCCCATCTTGCCAGAGAAGCACTGGGGATGACAGATCTGCTTACACCATGCTCAGCTGAACGTGTATTCTAGGTGTCTGACTCAGGCCATCAGGCTTGCAAAGCAGATACTTTACCCACTGAGCCATCACCCCAGCCCCCATGTGCACCATTGACCAGGCAAGAAAAAATAGAAGTGGAAAAATTTTTGTTGTTTTCCAGATGAACAATCGACTTTTCTCATCCCTCAGAGATGACTCTGCCTGGGAAAGACATGAAACTCTTTCAAAAGCAGGTAAAGACTGAGCCTCTCAGATCCCCATTCCCTTGTTTCCCCCCACCCTCACTTCCTCTGTCAAATTAATAATGAAATGTGTTTGGAGCCCATTTTCCCTCCAAATGTGGGTGTTAGCTAAGAGGCTGATTGAAATGTCTAGCCTTCAGGCTTTCTGGCTAGCAGTCTCTGAAAAACCAATGAAATGGGGACACTGGCACCCCAAGTGTCATCCCTGGAACCTGTGGTGGTAGGCTTGGGTCACCACAGCTTCCTGTAGAGTTTGGCCAAACAGAGTTGGATTCTAACCAGGACTGAGCAATAGGGCAAACAGGCAACACTTTCAGAATGAGGTGGGTGCAGGTTAAATATAGGAATGATAGCTGTGTGTCCATAATTCATTTTTATGAGGCTTAAACACATAGTCACTGCATTGTAAAAACAGGAGGTGAGACAGTTGCAGTTCATAACGTTTATGAAGTTTGTTAATATAAATTATGTGAGAAGCACTCACCCCTACCTCCTTCCTGGTAGAAATCATATGGATTTAGGTCAAATGTTCTGATGGTCCTGAATAATAAGACTACCAGATTAATAAAATATTCAATTCAGAGACTCAAGCCAAAACAAAATTTAAAAGGATGTTTTAATGTTGCAAATTGTGTTTTTGAATCATCATTCTAATAATAATTCATAAGCTTGGCACATGGGTAGCTGTAGATGCAAAGTAGGTTTGTGTTTGTATGAATATGTATGTATATATAATATATGTATGTCATTATATATCATACCTGTCTATCTGTTGTCTCTCTCCATATAACTTTTCTTTCCATTATCTGCAACTGTGTGATTATACAAAAGATATCAGACATCTGAATTTCTTTCTTAACCAGCATAGTCAACCCAAGACAAAAATGTTATTAGAAGGAAACCTTCATACTTAATCCTTTCTGGAAGCCCCCAGAGCATTGTTTACAGCTTGTTCTTTAATAATGGCAAATATTTAGTTTGGGGCCATATCAAATCATAGCCAAGAAGCTGCCTGGAGTGAGAACGTGATTCAGTTGATGGATGATTCTGCCTGGACAGCAAATGCCAGCCCAGGAAGCAGAGCTGGCCACAGGCAGCTCTGGGGAGTTCCGGGACATCGAGAGGAGCGATGCATTGTCCCCAGGACAGCCATGGCGGTTGTGAGAGCAATCACACTGGGTGACTGAAGTGTGCGTGTGTGGTACTATATCTCAGAAATGTGTCAGCTCAGGAGGAGCTAATTAGGCTTTCCAAAGAAACTAAGACTGTGTGGCTCCAGATGGGGGTTTGATGGTGCAGGCTGTAGAAAATGTGCCCAAGACACTCTGGATATGTCAGTGGAAGTGGGAAACAGCCTGAGACACTGGCTGTGTAGCCTGAAATGTTCACCTTAAAGATCTCTGCTTAGATGTAGCCAGGATCTTGTCTTACGTCAACAAAATAATTTTGAGATGAGTCAGTGTGTTAATTACTTTCTGTCTCTGTGATAAAACATCGTGTGACCAAAAGTGACTTCAGAAGAAATAATTTGTTTTGGCTGATGGTTCCAGAGGGTTAGGATTCATAATGGCGGGGGAGGCACAGGCAGCCAGAGCAGGAAGCTGAGAAATCACATCTTTAACCACAGACAGGAAGCGGGGAGAGTAAATTGGAAGTGGGATGGGGCAATGAACTCTCAAAGCCCACTTCTGAACTACCTCCTCCAAAAAGGCTCCACCTCCTAAAGGTTCTGTAACTTCCTCAAACAGCACCACCTACTGGGACCAGCTGTTCAAATACATGAGCCTGTGGGAACATTTCACATTCAAACCACCACAGTCAGTGTGAAGCAAAGTTGGCTTTAAGAAAAAGAGAGGGATGTGTGGAAGGGGGAGATCCAAGATGGTGCCACCAAGAGGATAATGTGTCAGATGAGCAGGACAGTAGTGACTGCACAGCAAACAACTAAACTCTGGGCCCCAAAACACCAGCAATTGTGTTTCCCAGGTGAAAGGAGAGGAAACCCCATGGTGTGGGAAGCAATCAGGTTCATTCTCAAGTCATTCAGCTAAACCAAGGAAGAGTTCCTGGGTCCCAGCCAGTGCTTCATCACCAGCCCAGAGCCATAATCCTATGTGCTCTGAACACCATCCCAGACTGAACTGTAGGTACCACAACACCAGAGACTGGGTTTTCCAGTCTAGAGAAAACCACAGAGTGAAGGAAGCAATTGGCACCCACCTCAGGTCTCCCAGACAATCTCTGGAAAATGTCCTGGGGTCCAGCAGATGCTTAGCCATCAACCAAGAGACCCACATGCATGCCCAACTCATTGTCCCAGACAGAACTATAGGCCCCAAAACACCAGAGACTAGGTTTCCCTATTGGGATGAAACTCCATGGTGAAGGAAACATGAGGTCTGACCTCAGGGTACCCAGCCAATCCCCCCACCCCTATGAAAAGTTCTCAGGAAAAGTTCCTGGGTGCCCGGTTGCCAGTAACAAGCCACTCGCCTGTGCCTGTATGCTCTACTCACCATCTCAGACTGAACTGTGGACACAAAAACACCACAGAATGTCAAGAGGAAAGCCCATGGGGAAACATCAGGTCTGACCTCAGGACACCCATCTAATCTCCAGGAAAATGTGTGAGTGCTGCTCTCACCTGACACTGATTACCTCTTATGTACTGGAGCACAGAGCTCCAACCTCAGACCTACAGAAGCCTGGGATCTATAGGACCAGCTCCCAGACACTGCTCCAAGGCACAACCTGTCTCTCTAGCTAAACTGACCAAACCGCAGGGCTCCCTGGTTCTTCAAGAGAGCTGTGCCCAGAAAATACAGTGTAAGAGCAGCAGTAGCAAATAGCAGCAAACAGCAGCAAGCAGCAGCTCACTAAATTCAGAGCAAGAAACCCAGTGGCAGGAAGCTGTCTCCAGGACTTCTCCTGGTGAGAGGAGAGCTCCTATGACTATCAATGACCACAATTACCACACAAGTCCATACACTTGTGAGCTGTGGAAATTCCTGAGAAGCGCTGGCCATTCAATGACCATACCCAAAAAGCTGAGGAGGCCTCCTTCAAGAACAATCATCCTAAGGGGATTTTCCCTACATCAGGATTATAGCAGGCACCAGAAACTAACAGCCAATACTTGAGATAGCCAGATGTGTATAGGCCAGCACAAAAATACAACCAACAAAAGCCAAAGCATTATGGAACCTCCAGAACCCAGTTATTCAGGGGTAAGTAACTCTGGACACCCTAACATAAGTGAAATTCAAGAAGATGACCTTACATCTGTGCTTAGGAAGAGGAAAATGGAGGAAACAAATAAAATACATAAAGAAATAGAATATAAAGTCAAACATATTATGACCATCCATAAAGAAATACATGAAGATGTAACCAAACAGTTTGTGGTCTTCAGAGAGGAAATAATTAAATCACTGTAAGAAATAAAAGAAACAGAAGAATGTTCAAACAAACAGCTGAAGGAATTGAAGGAAAAACAGGAAAATACAGTCAGACAGGTGAAGGAAATCAACAAAATGGTTCAAGATCTGAAAATAGAATTGGAAAAATTAAAGAAAACACAAACAGAAAATCATACCAATTGGTTTCCCATAGTAAGGGGAACAAGGACTATTTCTAACAGGAACTCAATGGCTGGCTCTTTGACCTCCCCACCCCCCAAGGGAGGAGCAGTCCTGTTAGGCCACAGAGGAGGACTTTGCAGCCAGTCCTGAAGATACCTGATAAAACAGGATCAGATGAATGGGGAGGAGGTCCCCCCTATCAGTGGACTTGGAAAGGGGCAGGGTGGAGATGAAGGAGGGAGGGTGGGATTGGGAGGAAATGAGGGAGCGAGATACAGCTAGGATACAGAGTTAATAAAATGTAACTGATAAGAAAAAAATAAAAAATAAAAATTTAATTAAAAAATAAATAAAACACATAAAATATGGGCTCAAAAAAAAAGAAAAGAAAAAATCATGGAGAAGAAGAACTTAGGAAAGAAAACAGGAGCTACAGAGGTAAGCATAATCAACAGACTACAAGAGATGGAAGAAAGAATCTTAGGTGTGGAAGATACAATGGAAGAAATCAATGTATCCATCAAAGAAAATGTTAAATCTGAAAAATTCCTGACACAAACCATCCAAGAAATCCAAGACAACATGAAAAGACAAAACCTAAGAATAATAATAGAGGAAAAAGAGGAGTCCCATCTCCAAGGCCCAGAAAATATTTTCAACAAAATCATAGAAGAAAATTTCCCCAATTTAAAGGAGAGGCCTATAAGCACATAAGAGGCCTACCGAATACCTAATAAATTAGACCAAAAAAGAAAATCCTCCTGCCACATAATAATCAAAACAGTAAGTATATAGAACAAAGGAAAAAATACTAAAAGCTGCAAGGGAAAAAGGCCAAGTAACATATAATGGCAAACCCATCTGACTTCACCTGACTTCCCAACAGAGAATATGAAAGCCAGAAGGGCCTGGATGGATATCATGCAGACCCAAAGAGAACACAGATATCAGCTCAGGCTTCTATACCCAGCAAAACTCTCAATCAATATAGATGGAGAAAACAAGATATTAAATGACAAAAACAAATTTAAATAACACCTACCCACAAATCCAGCCTAGAAAGAAAAATACAACTCAAGAAAGCTACCTACATTGGGGTAAACATACGAAATAAATAACCTCACTACAGCAAAACTAAAAGTAGCCAAGCACAAAAACACACTACCACAACCAACATCAAAATAAAAAGATCTAACAGCCATTGGTCATTAATCTCTCTCAACATTAATGGACTCAATTCTCCAATAAAAAGACACAGACTAACAGAATGGATGTGCAAACAAGACCCGACAATCTGTTGCATACAAGAAACACACCTAAGTAAAAAAGATAGACATTACCTTAGAGTAAAGGGCTGAAGTCAGTTTTCTAAGCAAATGGACCCACGGAGCAAGCAGGGGTAGCCATTCT